AATTTCTTAAAAACTCAAAATTGACCAGAGGAAATTTTAAATAGAATTATTATTTTGAGTTGGAAAAATTATTTAATACTAGCTGACCAGGCAAACGTTGTTTTGCTAAGTAAGGTTTATTCTAAACAATTTCTACAGAATCAAAAATATTACCTACTTTAAGTGTATAAGGATGTGTTGTTTGATTGCTATATACAATGAGGTATTATGAAAACAATAAACCCCATTATTAGTTTGTCTATATTTTGCCTCGAAGTTTTATACACTTTCTATGGAAAACATGATATAATTCATTCAATACAAGTCTTTTTTGGTCTTTCGACTTATTGATTATGTTTTAAGTTTTTCAGATTCTTTTTAAATTCTGGATTTTGTGTATAATTGTAAATAATACTACTGAGCTTATACAAAATTTGTCAAATTTCTGCAAGGAGAGATAGAAAATTTATTAAGTATTTCTTCTTTGACCTGCTTTTTAAAAAGTTTCAAGTAACATTCTATAAACTAAAGTAAATTTAATAAAAAGTATATATGTAGAGCAGGGCGAGGCTCAAATGTTCAATTTGACTTTGAACAAATATTAATTATATTATAAAAATCAAATCAATCATATCACAACAAATAACACATTTCAAACGAACAATTATCTGACTACGTTCAGTAAAACTGTCAGCTACTTCATCATTGTAGAAATGTGCTTTTTTGCTGTCTTTCAAAAATTTGTTAACTTTGAACAGGTTTAAAGTCTTATTTTGATTTTAAAGGTATTTTACAAAATAATTACATTTTTAACTAATGCTAAAAAACTACCAACGGAAGAAAATACTTTTATTATGGATTTTCAAAGCTTACCGTTTATCTCCCGATAACAAAGTCATAAGAATTAAGGTTGTAGCTGGTTATACATCTTTTTCCCTCTACTTACAAATATTGTTGTTAAACAACGCTTAACTTTACTGGTTTTTTGACACATCGCTGGTGGACCTTTTTAACCCCGGACCTTCATATTTTACTTATTTAGGGTTTATACAAAAACCGACAATTTAGAAAACCGGTTTTCGAATTTTAAATTTCCCAGAAAACCGGTTTTAGCCGTCTTTCGAATTTTATATGAAAAATCAATTTTTGCTCGAATATTCTGTAATAACAAAAAAAAAATATCGGCGAATTTAGTGTGATTTAAAGCAGTTTTTGACAGAATTTATTTAATGTTCAATTTTATGAAAAGTAAACAAATTTATTTTAATTTTAATTAGTAGAACAAAGAAATAATAGATGTGGATTAAATGACTTTGAAAACTCGTTATTTATGCATCATTTTCACTATAGATTATAAATATTTTTATGATAGTGAAATAAGAGTTTGAATAAATTAGATACATGTTAATACATAATTGTTAATGTAAATTTTAATTCTAGAAATAATTAACAAAACCCCGAGTTTATTCTATTCCGAACAATTTAATTAATTAATTTCAAATATTTAATTATTTTTTTAGTTAAATGAAATATGATACGATATGAGCACGCCTATCGATTTGATATTTAGAAGTGTCCTTTGTTTACTCACAAAATTTCGGCAAATTGATTCCAAGTGTCAAAACGCTTGCTTCCATCTAGTATTTTTGTCATTTTCCATTTATACAATAAAAACCGGTTTTATCCGCTAAAACACCGGTTTTCGAATTTCATAATTTTCGTCAAAAAACCGGTTTTCAAAACCAACAAACCTTAATTACTATCTATTCTTCGATAAATTCTGGGAAATTATAACTGGAAAAATGTTATTCGACAAAATGTCTTTTTGATCGGTACCAAATTTAGGTTCTGAATTTAATTAACATAAATTAGAAAATAATATAACCTAGAAAATGTTTTATAAATACCAATGAGTATATAATCATACAAATGAGATCTTTCAGAGCACCGTGTTTGAGAAAAATATGCCAAAAGGTGCATTTTCATATTAACATTTCTAAAAAAGTTGATATTTTTAGTTTCTAGTAACACTTGCGGCCCGTTTACTAACGTTTTTGTGTATAAATAAAAATACAAACAAAACTACTTACTACAATTTAATCATAATTAAATAATATTCGCGTAAAACATCCTATTAAACGTAATTGAACATCATCTGTCAAAAACGTTTGACATTTGACGTATTAGCCACCGTCCATTGTTTTATTCAAATTACGCTTCTACAAAAATGTTCAAATTAAAAATGTAAAGTTTCTACGCAATTTTGAAATAATATCTCACCTTTCCGACAACCTACTGATTGGCACGAATTTTTCAATACTAAGACTGGCCAAATCGGTTTAGCCGTTTTCGAGTTTTAGTGGATCATTTTATCGAGAGCTCCATTTTTATATATAAAATTATTATTTTGAGTTGGAAAAATTATTTTATATAAATCATTTATTAGGTGTTGGCCAGTGTCACAGAATCCAAACAGCTGCCGAAGCAATCAAAGTAGAAGTGTTGGAGGTGAAAGAAAGGGCCTCCCAACTTGTGGAGGTTATTTCAGAAGAAACAGCAGTTGCTGAAGGTAAATTGGAGGAAGCCAGGCCTGCGTTGGAGGCTGCTGAAGCTGCTTTACTGGTAAATATAGTAATTTATTGATAAAATACTTCAGGACACTGCCATTGGAACAATATTCTAGATTGAATAGTTGCCGTAGGGTTCAATTATGTTAGACAATATTGTAGCTTATTTAATTTTGTACGAATTTCTCAAATACTTTATAGATATCAGACGTACCACTTGAAAGTTGCAAAATTTTGATAAATAAATGCACCATAAATTTGGTCGCTGAACTATAAACAGTGCAGCGGGTCAAATAAGGCTTAAGACTTTGTGACGTGTGGGGTATCATTTAAAACAAGGATGAGCAACCCTTGATTAGAGATTATTTTTCTAGATAATTTATCAAATACGGCTGTAAAGGCTAATTTTTTTGTCAGTTTAACAATATTGCAAGAAAAATTGAGAACTTGTCCGAGAACATAGCAATAACGCATTTCCAAATTTAAAATAATTAAATAAGTAAATCTTATAAAGTCGCGAGGGTTGAATTATGGCAAATTTAAAGAATTTCTGAGGAATTAAAAGCGTGTATATGGCGATGTGCTTTTTAATACCAAAATTCGTTAGCTCAATAGTAATGCAGTGCTTAAAGAAGTATATGACCCAAATAGCAAACTACAATTGTTTTGGATATGAAAGAATAATTGTAGTACTTTCGTGATTTAGGTAGTGAAGAATAATAGCTTCTGCAAAATCTTGGGTTTCACTTTCCATATTTAGAAAAAAAGTGAACAAATTTTAATTGTTATTCCAAATGTTCAAAGCTAGCAAGACAGCTGTTTTCTTTGCCATTTAACATCGATGTAGGTACACTTTATGAAAACCTCCACAGAAAGTGATCAGCATACAAAATTATACAGATTAAAAAATGTATCTTTTCTGTAAACATCGAATTTTTTTATAAAACTCAGGTCAGCTCTGAGAAATCTTTGCTTTGAAAAAAAAATAAACAAAAATATGATAAATTATTATTTTGGAAGTACTTATGTGTGCAAATAATTACACAGGTCCAAAACAAAAGATAAGTCGCTGAAAAATAATTAATTCATTTAGGAAAATTTATAGATTATTGTACCAGCTTTTAAATATTTTGCGTCCCAATTTTGGCTATAGATTTATCTTCAGCGGTAAAAGGTAAAACCCAATCCTTTGTGGATTCTTTGTTAATTTCAACCATAATATTCATAAAAAATTTCCATCGATCAAAATTGAGTGAAACATATCAAAGCTGCACACGCGGTGCTACTTTCCTCATTCGAAAAAATAAAATGAAGAAAAACGGCTGATTGTAAGCATATATAAAAAAGCAGTGGCAAATTTCTCATTAAAGTTTTCAAGTAAATTATTTTTTGTGTTTAACTATTATTTTTATTTTGTATTGATATTTATATACACTTATAATATACACTCGTAATTATATAAAACATATACTTTTTGATTTTTGTATATTTGTTCTTTTCTTGTTGCAATTTTGTAATTTTGTTGCATTTACATTATTCAAACAATGCTCAGTCAATGAACCTATTTGACTTAATTTTAGTTCAGACTTTTGAGTTTATGGAAAATTTAAAATTTTATTCAAAAGGAAAAAGCAATTTGTTGTATAAACGTAACAATTTTTTTAAAATTTCATTCTTCAATTTAATTTTTTTTAATGCGAAATGGAAAACTATATACAACTCCAAATTTCACTCTCTCATTTCATAATAGACATTTTAGCTCGATAATCAATCAATTAACAATGATCGTCTTTTTTGTGAACGTTTTTAATTGAAATTCGATCAAGATTTTTCTGAGCTTATAGAAAAGTTTAAATTTATCCGATCTATTCATTGCAAAGTTTTAAAAACGATTCATAGATATTGGCAACGAAATGGTTACCTCCGATAAAACTAACTGATTTTCTGTTAACTGTTATCCTATTGTACAAATATTTCACGATGTGTATAAGAAGTACATAAATTTTGAATGTCTTGCAGAAGAAGCAAGTTTAGCAAAAAAAATTTAGAAATTCAATATTAAAATCTGAAGATAAAACTGTTTTTTAAAAAAGTTAGATTTTTTTTTAAATTATTGAAATCTTACTCGTTTCGCTGAGCATAGCATAACATAATACAAATATGGATGTTAGTATTTTAGCGTTGCATTGGGTAAATTATCAATGTGTTTTTGTGTTAGCTGCCCCTTTCATTTATATACTACACTTTGTACATTCAGAATTAGTTAGTCAATGATTTTCTAAAAATATTTCCTGAGGCAAAATGTTTGCCGGGTCAGCTAGTATATATATTAAATCCGTGCGGCCCGCCATGAAATTTTAAAATTGAAATTGGCCCGTGGATGATAAAGGTTGCTCGCCCTTGATTTAAAAGACCTCAATGAACTGAATTTAACTATAAAATTGACGGACTTAAGAAAGCAATAGAGTTCCGTACATGAAATAGTGTTCGGACAATGAGTGTAGTTTTCGATTATCTTATGATTTTTTTTCTTTATAGACTATTAAAGCTGCTGATATAGCAACTGTCCGTAAATTGGGCAAGCCTCCATACCTAATTACATTGATTATGGACGCCGTTTTGATTTTGTTCAAAAGGAGAGTTGAACCTGTTCATCCTGATCCTGAAAAGCAATTCTTGATGCCATCGTGGAACGACTCTCTTAAGGTAAACTATCAATGACCAAATTTTTAGTAAAATTCTATTACTGATTAAGTATCATTTATTTTAGCTCATGGCAGATACAAGATTCTTGTCAAATTTAATCCAGTTTCCAAAGGATGAAATTAACGCTGAGACTGTAGATCTTATGATTCCTTATCTAAATTACCCGTAAGTGATCAATATAATTGCATTTATGAAGATATAAATATATATATATATATATATATATAAATATAATAGAATATAAAGAATTTGTTAATTATTAATATTTATTCTTTTAGCTTGTACACTTATCAAAATGCAAAAACTGCTTGCGGTAATGTAGCTGGTCTTATCCAGTGGACAATGTCGATGGCACAATTCTTTGGAATCAACAAAGCTGTACTTCCCTTAAAGGTAATAATAGTAAATGAAAAAATAATGATCATATGGGTCATTCTTTTACAAACCGAAAACCAATTAACCTTGACATTTTAGAATTGTCTGAAAATTTGTTTACAGATACTATTCATAAAATCATTTGACACGTATTTCAGGATTTTGCTGAAAAAAAAAAAATTTTACGTAAATATTTACGATTGAAATATGGATTTTTTGCTCAATTTCTATGAACATCATCTGCGGTAAATTAATTATCTCCGGATGTGCTGATCAGATCAGTATTATTTTTTTTCATTACACTCATCATATTGAAGTGAACTTTGTAATGATTAAATTTTTTTTTTGTTTTTGCAATTTTCTTAACAATAACAACCCTTAAATATTTACAAAGGTTTTACTCGGCCATACCCCAACTTGAATCGATCCAAAAAAAAACATATTTTTTTCTTATTTTCCCTGCAACAAAATTCATTTTACAATTTTTTGGAAACTTTGTTACATCGAAAGATATTAAATATTTTCAAGCGCGAGCCGCGCTTTTCACGTCGGGGACCTCAAAGATTTGTACTCATTTGTCACTTTTGAATGACAATCTCATTGTTTTTTGGTTGAAAAATATTTTATAATTTCGCTTCTGGCGAAAAATGTTAAATATATAGTCGAAAAACAATCATTAGGAGAGAGCGGAGCTTAAAAGTTTGTGGGTAAAAGGATCCACTGCCAATATCTCAAAAACAAGTAAAGTTAGAAATTAAAAATGAGGAGATAATTAATTTACCGCAGATGATGTTCATAGAAATTGAGCAAAAAATCCATATTTCAATCGTAAATATTTACGTAAACTGATTTTTTTCAGCAAAATCCTGAAATACGTGTCAAATGATTTTATGTATAATATCTGTAAAAAAAATTTCAGACAATTCTAAAATGTGACATTTTATTTTTTCGAAAATCCGTACGATTTGTAAAAGAATGACCCATGTATATATACTTATAAGGAGACTTATACTATAAGTATACGAGGTCTGTTCAAAAAGTACCCGGAATTACTAATAATTAAATTTCGCGGGTCTGGAGTGTCTGATTGTCAAATTTTTTTTATTGTGTTGGTATACATGCCCCTAAAGTATGATGAAATTTTCAGCTATATTCACTGTTTACTTTGTCTGTGGTAGTCGCTAAGGTTCGACGTGTTTTTCTGAGCTCGGCGATATTTACAATGGAAGAATTGAAAAGTCAAAGAATTTGTATTAAATTTTGCGTAAAAAATGAAATAAAGTGTTGCAAAGTGCAAAAATTCACCAGATATGGCTCCGTGTGACTTTTTCCTATTCCCAAAGTTGAAGAGACCCATGAAAGGACGGCGGTTTTCCTCGATTGAAGAAAATCGCCGAGAGTGCTCAAGGACATATCAAATAGTGAATATCAAGGGTGCTTCGAAAATTGGAAAAAACGCTGGCATAAGTGTATTATATCTGGGGGGGACTACTTTGAAGGGGACCACATTAATGTAGACGAATAAATAAATATTTTTTTGAAAAAACGAAAATTCCGGGTACTTTTTGAACAGACCATGTACTTATATTGGTTAAGTATTATCTTATTATAAATCTATTTCTACTTTAGGCTAATTTGGCTCGTCTCCAAGGCAAGTACATGCGTGCCAAGGCTGATTTGGATGCTGCAGAATCTTTGCTGAAAGCCAAAGAGAAGGAATTGGCAGTTGTGCAGGCTGAGTTTGATGCTGCGATGGCTTTGAGACAGGTTAATAGACTATTTATGTTAATCGAGAAACAATTATATACACAAATTACCTTTCTACTATAAATTAGCATCAATAATCACTGTGGTTGTCAATTATCAAGGCTGATAAAATAATATTTTCAATTCATCATATATATATATATATATATATATATATATATATATATGTGTGTGTGTGTGTGTGTGTGTGTGTGTTTAATTTAAGTTTAATATTCGGGCGTAACATCAATAAAAATAGTATGAGAGTTTTTTCAAAAGTTTATTTATTTAAAATCCATACGTTTCGGCTAGCATCTTAGCCATCATTCAGTGGCAATCAAATTAACTATAAAAATTAAAACTAAATAAATAATATGATAGAAAATTTCATGGAAAAACAACAATAATAATAATAATAATAAAACACTTACAATTTTGTACCCTAATTTAACATATGAAACCATTATTAATCCATGGTATGAGTATGTGCACATTGATAAGATATATATTTTTTAACATCACAAATGGTAAAACACACTAATAACTATGATAACTTAACAAGTTGTCGAAACTATGTATTCACTCTTCGGAGTTTAAGATAGAAATGTCACATTTTTCTCAAAGCAGTTTTTAGCATGTGTTACAATTTTTTGAGAAATTTAAAAAGCGATGGGATTTTGTTATTTTTTAAGAAATTTTGACACGCTAATAAGAAACCACGTGTTTGTTTCGTTCAGGGCCGTATTGTCGAAACGTTTGTTTATGACCCTGTCGTTGTGCAATTGCAAAAACAACCCCTCAGCAATTCTTCTTTTAATAATGTTCTCTTCAAAATGTAAAATTTCAGGGTTGAAAAAATCGATATTATGATTTAAATTTTTAATATGCTCAGTTAACATCGTTTTAAATTGCTTAGGATTTTTTGATTTGCCTTTTAATATCGAACGACTCAGAAATCTCGTCTATAAAATTAATTGTCTAGATTATAATTTAATTTACATAGGAGAAACAAGCCAGAACTTAATGAAACGTTCACAACAACATAAAAACAATTAAAAAAATTCAAGACAGTTTAAAACTACGATTGCGGAGCATATTTATACTTTAAAACACAATATGGCGACTTTTCTAACCCGACTGTACTACAATTCGAACAAAATTTATTCAAACGTAGAATTATAGAAGGATCTTTTTCAACTATTTACAACAATAAAACAATAAATAAACGGAATGAACTCAACACTCTGTGCGACACAAATCTAGATAATATTTCCAAATTTCTCACAAAACAATAAAAGCGACGCGCAAAGGATTCGCAATTCGTTCCACACATGTGTAGAATCTTGGTAAAAATATTTTTTAAAAGTCTTTTCTCCATTATATCTTCAACCAGTCTACGAACAACAGACTATCCAATGGTGATTTTTTAAATTAGTATTTTGTGAAAATATTGTGTAATTACAAGTTTAATGTTTATAACACATAGTGTAGTGCATTACCATATCCAGATACCATGGATTATTAAAATTTTCCAATTTAACACTAAGATTAATTATTATTTTTTCCACTGAATGAAGGCTAGAATTATAGCCGAAACGTATGGATTTAAAATAAATTTTTGAAAGAATTTCATGTTTTTTATTGATGTTATGCCCGATTACCAGACTTTGTTAATACATATGTCAACATCAAATTCAGAATCATACAAATATATATATATATATATATATATATATATATATATCCTTTCAACGTATCATCGTTACCTAACCTTTGTTGACATTTTTAAATATTTAAATACAAAAACTACTCCTTATCATCTAATTTAAAATCAATCAAGCTTTTTATGATAACTAACTTACTATAACCAACTTTTAATAACATAACTGTCTGTGATAGTTTTAATCTTTGTTTTCTCCAGCGAGGAACAATGTATTTATGTTAATCGTGGATGTTGAAACATTAATTACACTTTGGGATAACAATCCTATAGTATAAATTATTATCTACTTTCTAGTATAAATTATCATCTATTCCTTTTTTTAAGTTTTATATTTTTCATTACTTTATCAAGGCTAATTTAAATAATATTTCTATTTTATTATATATTTATACAGTAGCATTACTAATATCCTTTGTTTGTACCATCGTTACCTAACCTTTGTTGACATTTTTAAATATTTTGATACAAAATCCATTTCATATCATCTAAATAAAAATGCATCATACATTTTATGATAACTAACTTATCATAACCAACTTTTAATAATATAACTGTCTGTGATAGTTACAATTTTTGTTTTCTCCATCGTGGACAATGTATATATATATATATATATATATATATATATATATATATATATATATATACATGTGCTAACGATTGATTTATATGGTACATGAACTTAAATCATGTATTTATTTATTTATATCTTGAAAACTTATCTAACATTTTATGATAACTAACTTATCATAACTAAATTTTAATAATATAACTGTCTAATAGTTAAAATCGGTTTTTCCCTTCGTAGAACAATGTATATATTTTCATGTGCTAACGATTGATTCAAATGGTACATGAACATACATCATGCATTTATTTATTTTGTATTAAATATACAAGCATATTTATTATATATTTAAAGAAATTAAGTATATAATTTAAGGAATATTTGTTTTCTTACCTTTTTGAAGGTTAGGTATGTGAAGAAACCAGGATACTTGAATATTGCAACACGCACTATCAAATTTTTTAAATATAACATCAGTAACAATGAAAATGAATTATATATGTAAATAGTTATTAGTTTAATGATACATAAATAACATTTTGATAGCAATTAATATCAAATTCACAATTGCAATTATATTTTTGAAATGTCGAACGATTGCTGATTGACTTGAAGTTGGCTACAAAATAATATTCAGCCTAAATCATAAATTAATTTAAAACGTATTTTATATATACAACAATATTTATAACACTCCACTACACACTATATATAAATTATTTATTAACTTGTATATTTTATTATGGATTTTAATTAATTAATTTTTTTAGGCCTTTTTAGGCAAGATGGATGCTTGAATATTGCAATGCACACTATAATTTTTTTTAAAACATTATATCATATAGTAAAGCAACATTAAAAACAAATCATTATATGAATAATTTTATACATTTTGAAAGCTATTAATATCAAATTCACAATTTCAATTATATTTTTGAAATTCAAGCGATTGCTGATTGACTTGAAGTTGGCAACAAAATTATATTCAACCTAAATGATAAATTAATTTAAAACGTATTTTATATACAAAAATATTCATATCACTACACTATATATTTTTTATATATAAATTATTAATTATATATTTCATTATGGATTTTGATTAATTAATATTTTTAAGCTATTTTAGGCAAGATGGGTGCTTGAATATTCGCAACACATACTATAAAATTTTTTAAATATAATCTCAGATAGTAAAGCAATATTAAAAACTAATCATTGTATGTGTAGTTTTATACATATATTACATTTTGAAAGCACTTAATACCAAATTCACAATTTCAATTATATTTTTTAAATGTCAAACGGTTGCTGATTGACTTGAACTTGGCTACAAAATTATATTTAGCCTAAATCATAAATTAATTTAAAACGTTTTTTATATATACTACAATTTACATAAAACTACACTATACAATATATATAAATTATTAATTCACTTGTATATATAATTATGGATTTTATTTAAATAATTTATTTTTTTAGGCCGTTTTAGGCAAGATGGATGCTTGAATATTGCAACACACAATATCAATTTTTTTAAATAAAATATCAGATAGTAAAGCAACATTGAAAACAAATCATCATATGAATAGTTTTAAACATTTTAAAAGCAATCAATATCAAATTCACTATTTCAATTATATTTTTGAAATGTCGAACGATTGCTGATTACTTTGAACTTGGCTACAAAATAATATTTTGCCTAAAGCATAAAATAATTTAAAACGTGTTTTATATATACAAACATTTGTACAACACTACAATATATATATATATATATATATATATATATATAAATAATTTATTACTTACCATGTATATTTAATTATTGATTGTATTTAATTAATTAATTTTTTTTAGGCCGTTTTGGACGACGCGGCAAAATGCCAAGCCAAGATGGACGCAGCTTCGGCTCTGATTGGTGGACTGTCCGGTGAGAGAGTGAGATGGACAGAGCAATCTGCACAGTTCAAGAGCGAGATAGACAGATTAGTCGGGGACGTGCTTTTACTAACGGGGTAACTGTCAATTTAAATTAAAACTAGTGGTGTATGGCATCGTGCCTTAAGGCAAATTGCTGCAACTTCCCGTACCGTAATGAACTATTCGAGAAATTTTAAACGTTTTGAAATATATTATTACAAATAATGTCTCTTTCATTATTTTTGCTTTCTTGTTTGTTATATCTGAGCAAATCATAAATAAATAAATTTATCTCCAGAACATTAACAATCGTCATTTTCGATTTCGATTTCAATTTAAAAAAAAAAATAGTTGCCTAATTTGCACAAAATTGAAAAAGTGCTCCCGTCTAGCCACAGTCTAAACGCATTTGCAAATAATTCTGTGCGACATTTTCACTTATACAGTGCTTAGCTCGGCGGCATTTTTACATTTTTCGATAGTTTTCACAAAATTGGAAAATTGCTCCAGTACATTAAACAGTCTAAACGCACTTGGGTAAACATTTGTGCCAGAGTGGCGCTTAGACTGTGCTTAGCCTGGGTCATTTTTTGAATTTTTAATCCAAAATTACAAAAATATTTTTTGAAAAAAAAATAGAAAAGTTCTCTCAAAACTGCCGTTTTTTTAATATTCAGCTCTGTATTTCCAAAAGCGCTGGTCCTACCTTTGCCAAAAACTAATAACCACTTTTCCCCGTCATTACGAACTGAATGTTTTTTGGATCATACAAATCGGATGCTCCGATCTCTCAAAAACTCTATTTCTATTTTCTGCACTCTTTGCTCCGTTTATCCGGAACGGCTGGACCTGCCTTTGCCAAAAACTAATCAGCACATCTCCCTATCAATAGGAATCGAATGTTTTTTGAACCATTCAAATCTTCAAATAAAAATGTAATTTCGGGTTACAAAAATTCCATACTAAGTACAGTCTAAGTAACAACCTGGTGCAAATGTTCTTGCAACTGCTTTTAGATTGTGACTATACCGGAGCATTTTTGTGTAAATATGCAACTATTTTATTGAAATTGAATTAAAAATTAAATGACGATTGTTAATATTGCTGTAAACTTCGAGATAAATTGATTTATGATTTATCATTGGATTTTCTCACAGTGTTAATTAAGATATAACAATAAGGTACCAAAAATAATAAAAGTTGCTGTATTTATAATGATACATTTGAACACATTTAAAATTCCTCAAATATTTTATTACAGTGTAACAAGTTCCAGCAATTTGCCTTAAGGCGCGAAGCCATGCACCACTAGTTTTCATATTTATTTTGAGTTTCTCAAAATAGTCTGAATAGTAAATATGTTTAATTTATAATATTTAAATTACTCAAAATATTATTTAAATTATAAATACTGACTTGTTTTATTTGTAGTGATCGATATATTTTATTGAAGTAAAACTTCTTTAGGCGCGACATGGGTGTAAAAACTTCTTTAGGCGCGACATGGGTTAGCAGTATAATTCGTGAGTTAATAAAAATGTCAGGATCGGAAGAATATTTTATCCCGTCCCCCATAAATAATTGTAGTGCAAATGTACGCAAATAAATAATGAAACTAAAGAAAAATCTGCGCTGCGTAAGAAATGATAGATTTGGCAATGTATGTTTTGTGTGCGATCGACTTTGCCTTCAAAGTGACTTAGAAATATCAAATGATGCTCAAAAACAAATTCCTAATAATGTTTTTTGAATATTGATTTAAATAATCAGCAAGATATTAAATTCGGGTAAAATTCCCACTTTGTGTAAGTTTTACGGGTTTGTATTTCCACCTATACCAAATTATCTATCTAAACTAGATACTGTAACTGAAAGATTAATTTCACCTATACATAGATCAAGCTATGTGCAGGGCTTAATAAATAAAACAAATATAAAAGTATGGCTTCAATTTGTTAGGCAAGACGGATATTACAGCTGTTCAAGGAATGAGATTATATCGTCAACGAAAAAGTAAAAAAATACAAACAGTGAATGAATGTATGTTAATTTTAATTACATGAAGTTCTTCAAACACAATTCTTACAGGATGAGTTAATTTGCAAAAACAATATTTGTTTAGGCGTTGTTTAATATAATCCACTGTGTGAATGAATATTATAGAATTTATTAATCAGCAATTACTTTAAAACGATCATGTCATATTTCAAGTACGATTTTGATTACATTATTGTTCACAATCATAAATATATAATTTATAATTCATCATTATATAAATGTGTATAATGATTGACGACACTAATAAATGTGTGCATCACGAGTGTTACCATATTACTAATAAACATTATTCAAAATTTTTATATGATGTATTTATTTTTACTCAACTTAAATTTGCTACTTTATACAGTAGCAAATAAGTTTTACTTCAATCGCGTGTGATCCTTACGCGCACTCTTTTTTTTTAAGCTTCTTGTCGTATGCTGGACCGTTCAACCAGGAGTTCAGACAGTTATTAGAAAAATCATGGTACGAAGAGATGTTTTCGAGAAAAATTCCAGTAACTGCAGGACTGAATATGGTCGATTGCTTAACTGATACTGCAACTGTAAGAATAAAAATAGAAACAAAAATCTTAAATATTTAATAGTAATAATAGTCAGATCTTACGATAAATAAAGCTCGAATAGAAATATGTTCATATAAAAATTTGCCTCTACTTACTATGTGCGATTCAATTTCTTCTGATTATCATTTTACATTAGATTGGTGAATGGAATCTCCAAGGTCTACCAAACGATGAACTGTCTATCCAAAATGGTATTATTGTAACAAAAGCAGCAAGATTTCCACTTTTGATTGATCCGCAGCAGCAAGGCAAAGCCTGGATTAAAAACAAGGAAAAAGAGAACCATCTCATTGTATCCGCTTTGAATCATAAATACTTTAGGAACCATTTGGAAGATGCAGTCTCTTTAGGTAAAATAAAAACAAAACTAGTTGGTTTGGTATTTAGCCTTGAGGCAAGTTACATGAATTTTCCGATATGTATAAATAATCGACTTAATCCATGATATATAATAAAAATCGAACACGTCAACCTGGTCGGAATATTTTTTAAAGGCAAAGTTTCAAAAATCAATAATTTTTATATTTGAGCTAGTTTTTTATAGGATTTTAATTGTTTAGCATGTTCATTAAGACCAAGTACTCTATCAATATATCAAGTAAATCGTCTAATTTTAATTTTAACAAATGTAAAAAAAACTACCCATTTTCTCAAACTTTGATAAATTTTTAAAATTAAACTACTTGTGTCGTAAGGCCGTAATATTTTAGTAAGTTTTATAAGACTATGATATATATATATTGCCAAAAAAAGTTCCGTGAAAATCGGCTTAAATTTTTAACTTCCCGTAGGGCAAGTTATAGTAATCGCCAAAAAATCGAAAATGAAATTTTTTATATATATTTACGTTGCAAAACCTTCTGAACATTTTGGCATACCTTAGAAAAAATGAATGTATGTGTGTGTGTGTGCGTGTGTGTATGTGTGTTCGGATACAAATTTTCGTCGACGATTTCGGGAACATGGATCAACCGATTTGAATAATTCAAAAAACATTCGATTCGTATTAATAAGGAGACGTGCTGATTAGTTTTTGGCGAAGGCAGGTCTAGCCGTTCTGAAGATACGGGTCAAAAAGTGCCAAAAATGATAAATCAGTTTTTAAGAGAACGGAGCGTCCGATTTGAATAATTCAAAAAACATTTCACTAGTATTGACAAGATGAAGAATTGATCAAATTTTTATGAAGACAGGTCTAGCGGTTTCGGAGATCTAATGAAAAAAGTAAAAAAAAATGCCATTCGGCGGTTAAAAATGCTCATTAGACATATGCACATCAAATTATCAGATATTTTATAGAGATTTTAACAATAAGTATATTTTTTTTTACATTTCTATGAGTTTCGTACCAATGTTTTTCCGTTAGACGGCGACGCGGCGCTTGCGCGCTTTGACATTTCATCTCCATGCAAAAGCAGTACGATTGCTTTGAAAAAAAGTTCAGAATTTTTATTATATGTCAAAATAAAGAAAACTTTTTTTTTTCAATAAAAATGTTTTTTTTTTCAACAAAAAGTCATTTTTTGTCAAATTTATAGTTTCTCAAAAATCAAATTTTTTCGAAGTAAAATTTTTTCAAAAATGTTAATCGTTTTTAAAAAAATAATATAAGTTGGGAAGTTCCAGCTATTTGCCGTAAGGCACGATGCCATGCGCCCCACTAGTTTCTTCAACAGTTAATTACAAGAAAACGGCTCGATAGATTTTCACCTAAAACTAATCAGTATCATTCCAAACTAATATCTTTCAAACAGTTTTTGATTTCTTAAAATCGATTCGGTATTATGAGCCTAAATGTGGACGAAAAGTTTAACACTTTTTTCCAAATTATAAAGAAACGGCTCGGCAGACCGTGTCACAAAACTGACAAACTATAGTCCTCATCGAAATACATCAAATGGTTTTTAAATTTTTGAAATCGGTTCAGGCGTTTTTGAGCAAACGTCGATGAAAGTTCTAATTTTGACAAATGCCAAAAAGACCCTACTAATTTTTGCAAACTTTGATGAATTTTTAAAGCTAAACGAGTTGTCGTAGGGCCGTAATATTTTAGTATGATCTCTAGAGGACCATGGTATCTACCGTCAAGAAATAATCATAAAAATCGTCGTTTTTTTTAAACTTTATTACAAGAAAACGGCCCGGCCGATCTCTACCAAAAACTAATCAGCACGATTCCCAACCAATATCTATCAAACGGTTTTTTAATTTTCATAATCGATTCAAAATTGCGGGCCAAAAAACGTGGACGAAAGAGTTTTCACTTCTCTGCTGTTTACGAAGAAACGGTTTGGCCGATCGTCGCACAAAACTGGCAAACAATAGTTCTCGTCGAGATACATCGAAAGGCTTTTAAATTTTTGAAATCGGCCCAGCCTTTTTCGAGAAAACGTCGATTTACGGCAAAAAATCTGTGTGAACACACACATTTACTTTTTTCTAATGTTGATCTCATTCGATTCAGAATGACTTGAAACGTCCAGGAGAAAACATAAAATTAGCGAATCGGATTTTTTGATGAAAACATAAACTTCTCCTTCTGGAAGTTAACAAATCGATAATTTTAAATTACATTTCTCAATTTTTATTTCAGGTTATCCGATGATTATAGAAGACATCGGAGAAGAATTAGATCCTGTCTTGGACAATGTACTCGAGAAGAATTACATTAAAATGGGAAACAGTTACAAGGTGAGCCATATTTTTATATGTATTTAGTATCTTGTAATGTTTGTGTGTATGTGAATAGGTGAAAGTTGGTGACAAAGAAGTGGATGTGTCTTTTGATTTCCGTCTGTACATTACGACTAAACTTCCAAATCCAAGATACACTCCAGAAGTGTCCGCTAGAACTTCGATGATTGATTTTACTGTAACTATGAAAGGTAATAATAGAAATAGTACTGTAATAGTACCGTTTGAGACAAAGGGTTTTTTAACTTCCTGTAGGGTAAGTTATAGTAATCGCAAAAAAATCGAAAATGAAATTTTTTGCATATCTTTACGATTCAAAGGTTTTTGAATATTTTGGCACACCTTAGAAAAAATGGTTGTATGTGTGCGTGTGTGTGCGGATACAAATTTTCGTCAAAAAAGTATTTTGTTTCAAAAACGTTAAATTTCTCAAAAATGTAATTTTTTCAAAATTTAAAAAAAAATAGTTTCTTTATAAAATTTAATTTTTGGTACAGGAAGTTCCAGTAATTTGCCTTAAAGCACGATGCCATATTCCACTAGTTTCGTTTGGTTTTTTCCACTATTTTTTTTTTCAAAGAAGTAATTTTTTTAAAAACAAAATTTCTCATAAATGTATTTTTTTTCAAAGTTTAATTAAAAAATTTAATCTCTTTTATAAAATTTAATTTTTGGTGCAGGAAGTTCCAACAATTTGTCTGAAGGCACGATGCCACATATCACTAGTTTTCTTGGTTTTTTTCCACCAGTTTTTTTTTTTCAAAAAAGTCATTTTTTTCAAAAACAAAGTTTCTCAAAAATGTAATTTTTTCAAAGTTAAAAAAAAATTAATCTCTTTTATAAAATTTAATTTTTGGTACAGGATATTCCAGCAATTCGCCTTAAGGCATGATGCCATATTCCACTAGTTTCCTTTGTTTTTTTTCTCATCATTTTTTCTCAAAAACGTAAAATTTTTCAAAAATCTAATTTTTTCAAAGTTTAAAAAAAAATTTAATCTTTTTTAAAAAATTAAATTTTTGGTACGGGAAGTTCCAGCAATGGATGCCATATACCTAGATTTATATACTAGTTTCCTTTGGTTTTTTCCACTAGTCTTTTTCTTCAAAAGTCTTTTTTTTTCAAAAACGTAAAATTTCCCAAAAATGTATTTTTGTCAAAGTTTAAAAAAATTTAATCTATTTTATAAAATTAAATTTTTGGTACGGAAAGTTTTAGCAATTTGCTTGAAGGCACGATGCCATTACCGCTAGTTTCCTTTGGTTTTTTCCACTAGTTTTTTTTTTTCAAAAAAGTCATTTATTTTCAAAAACGTAAAATTTCTCAAAAATGTAATTTTTTCAAAGTTTAAAAATAAATTTAATCTCTTTTATAAAATATAATTTTTGGTACAGGAAATTCCAGCAATTTGCCTGAAGGCACGATGTCATATACCACTAGTTCCTTTGGTTTTTTCCACTAGTTTTTTTTTTCAAAAAAGTCATTTATTTTCAAAAACGTAAAATTTCTCAAAAATGTATTTTTTTCAATGTTTAAAAATAAATTTAATCTCTTTTATAAAATTTAATTTTTGGTACAGGAAATTCTAGCAATTTGCCTGAAAGCACGATGCCATATACAACTGTTCCACTTGTTCTCTTTTCCATAAGTCATTTTTTTTCAAAAACGTAAAATTTCTCATAAATGTATTTTTTTCAAAGTTTTAAAAAAAATCTCTTTTATAAAATTTAATTTTTGATACAGGAAGTTCTAGCAATTTCCTTGAAGGCACGATGCCATACACCACTAGTTCCTTTGTTTTTTTTCAAAATGTCTTTTGTTTCAAAAACGTAAAACTTCTCAAAAATGTAATTTTTTCAAAGTTTAAAAAAAACTAATTTATTTTTGATACAAGAAGTTCCAGCAATTTGTTTGAAAGCACGATATCATATACCACTAGTTTCCTTTGTTTTTTTCCACTAGTTTTTTTTTTCAAAAGTCATTTTTTTCAAAAACGTAAAATTTCTCAAAAATATAATTTTTTCAAAGTTTAAAAAAATGTATATCTTTATAAATAATTAAATTATTGGTTCGGGAAGTTATAGCAATTTACCTTAAAGCACGATGCCATATACCGCTGGTTTCCTTTGGTTTTTCCACTAGTTTTTTTTCAAAAGTCATTTTTTTCAAAAACGTATAATTTTTCAAAAATATAATTTTTTCAAAGTATAAATAAGAAATTTAATCTCTTTTATAAAATTTAATTTTTGGTACATGAAGTTGCCATATACCACTAGTTTCCTTTGTTTTTTTTCCACTACTTTTTTTTTTCAAAAAGTCTTTATTTTCAAAAACGTAAAATTTCTTTTTC